TCCACATCTAAAGGAGAGCCGCCCTTTTATCCTTTTATACCGCCCTTTTATAACGAAGAGAAAGGAGCGAAGGGATGCTTCTCTTCGCGAAATAGAGGAGGCGGGAACGGTTTCTGGCAAATGGATGCTTCTCTTCGCAAAAAAGAAAGGAGGGAGTGATTATTTTTGAAAATGTGTGACCCTTCGCGATCGGAAGCGTCGTTTCACGAAAACAGAAGGAGAGGCAGGAGCGAGAGTTCGCGGGTTGGGTGGACCGGACTTCACGCCAGCGCTAACACTTTTACTTGAATATTACCACACTTGTTGGCTTCCCCGTTTCTATTGGGGTGCTTTCATGTGTGTATCTAGCCATTGATGTTGTATTATATTTCTTCACAATGGTAGAAAATCTCAAGTTGTTGTTCTTTTTCCTTACCAGGACAAGGCCCTTTGTAGGTTTGATATCTAGTCGAGCTCTTGTGAGTTTGGCTATGATTAAAATCAAAATTATTTCGACTTGAATTGACTTTGACTCCAAATGATTTGATTTTGAGTTGACACTTGAATGCACAAATAATGGTATATGGGGATTTTAAATCTAGTTTCTCTCTCACCAATCATACACACATACTGAAGTGGTTGAATCAAGCCCGCCTCCTAAATTGCTGAATCAGTCTAGCTTGTTGAAGTGACTGAATTAATCGGTCCCACTTGCCAAAATGGCTTAATCGGTCCCACTTGCCAAAATGGTTTAATCGGTCCCACCTGTTGAAGTGACGAATCACGCTCACGCCCATCTTTCTCAAGAAGGCAACTTAAACTTATCCCAACAAAGACAACAATTCGAGGAGGCCGCCATGGTTGGCTCAGACACCCATCTTTCACTCATCTAAAGACGTTGTTCGATACTGGAGATTTTTTCCCATCACCTGGCTACCGGGGATAGTCGTTGTACCAGTAATATTTGACATTAACCGACGATATGTCATGATCACGATATTGATTTCCTGTCAAGATGGCCAATGATACAATATGGGAGTATTTTTTAGATTAATTTATAGTTTTATTCTCCGGCCAGTATAATAAGGGGAAAGATGAGGAGAGAGGGACCTTTTTTTCCCCCACATTTGGATCTGGATCTCCTTCCTCATTTGGATTCTCATCTTGATCTTCATCCTCAGGATCATTCTCTTCTCTCTCTCTCGTACACTCTTCTCATGACGCATGGTCTTTTATCAAGCTATATGTACTCATGAAAATTACGGAAGCCTAAGTCCTAAAAAGGATTCAACAACTCCAAATATTTTTTTAAAAAATTTTATATTTATAAATGTAAATATTATACTATCTATTATACATATATTATAGGAAGATTTACATTAATCCCACTCAAATCCTATGTATTCACATATCGTACACCTAAATCTCAATTCTTACATACCTATGCATGATAAGGTGTATTTCACTCTTTAAATGAAATAGTGGTATTTTTATGTGATATGAAAATTTTGAGTGGTATAAATATAAAAGGTAACTTTTTGGTGTTAGATGTGTAAATACATATGAATTTGGTGGTATTTATGTAAATGCCTTTATACTTTAATGATAATTTTTGAGTTTTTGGTGCTGTTTGATCAAACCGTCAATGTTGACTGAAAGTTTTGGCTCCAAGGCTCATCCTCCATGGCTGTTGCACTCTCTTTTAGTAAAAGACTTTACATTGTACTGTCAACATCAAGCCTACTTAATTTTGGAGGAGTTAGTAAATATAACTCTTATAGGGTATGGCTTTGATAGGATGAAAGATCTTTTGAGCGACAAATTAACCAAAAGATTGAAAGAATAAGATCATTAAATTTTGGCATGTGGTGTATAGAAACTAACCCTCTCTATCCAAATGTAATGTTTATATTGATTTTCTGCTCAATGATTTGATGTTGTCACATTAGTTCATTTACAGCTCTATTATCTTTTTTAGGCACACACTACTCTGCCATGGGAAGTCAGTGAATTAAGCCTCATATTCCCTTTTCATTGCTCACCCCATGTAATGACCTATATCTTGCCTTGGGGTGTAAGTGAGACGAGCCGACTTGAGCTCGCAAGTTGAGATTATCAAACCACGAGCTCAAACTCAAGCTCATTATTAAACGAGCTTGAATTCAAGTTTTTTCTAGGCTCACGAGCTGGCTCGGTTAGCCAATCAATGCCTACTCTACCAAGCCAACGTGACACTTTGACTTCTTCTCCAGCCATTGATGCATTCTTCGGTGAGAGCCCATGATAATTTGAATTTTTTTTTTTTTCTTGAGTCGATGCTTGCTTTTTGAAAAATGAACCGAACTTGAGTTAGGCTTGACTTCAGTTCGACTCGACTCGTTTGCACCCTATCCATTCACGCCATATGTTTGTAGTCAACGGGAACACTTATCATCTATCTTATTTGCCAAACTACTCATGTTGTCTCTATTCACTCATGTTGACTCTATTCACTCATTGCTTAAAACTGGCTTATAGAAATATATCTGGAGGGGATTGGCTGTAGTACAGACACTTATTTTCTGAATGATCAGATTTCCAGCAAGGTAGACTATATAGTCTAGCCGCCTTGGTGAACACAGCATATGATCTCTTTGCTTAGAGATGGATGCTCTAGGAATGATTTGTAATTAAAAGAGAGAACACGATGTGGTTGGCTGAGTAATGTGGGGGATGAAAATTATTTAGAAAGCTAGGGTTATAAATCATAGAATCCTTAGAAATCTTCTCTTTCTTTCATGTTTGTTGTCCATCAATGATCTGCTCAAACCCAAAACAGTGAATAGTTTCACTGTTTGAAACTAATCTAGAGAACTAACAAAGGCTATGTTTCATATCTTCCCCGGATGTAATTAGCGGCTGATATTACAATTTTTTTTTGCTCTGGCAAACATAGGAGATTTTTATGGGTGTGTGGGACATGGGAGACTTAGCTGAGTTGAAGACATTCTGGCAAACATGTCTCTTACATTTGTTTAGTCTCACATTTGTGGGAAAAATTATCCTTAGAGTTGTTTTAAATATAGGAAAATTCTCCTTTGAGCACTAAAAGCCCATAGATGTGTGGCCCGTGTGGCCTACGTGGTTATGGCTCTCGAGCAGAGCTCGAGTTGATTCAAGCCAAAATCAAGGAAACAAATGAATAAGTTTTTTTCGAGCCGTTCACGAACAAATTCGAATGAGTTCGAACAATGTTGACTTAAACACGAGTAGGCTCATTACGAGCCTAATGCAAAGACCAGTCGATCTCGAACAGGTTTTAATGCAAACAATATGAACACAAATGGAACCTCTGCTCATTCATGTTTGGATTGTTTACTCCCCTAAGCTCGATCCACAAAAAGGTCTCTTCGCTGACCCCTCATCTTGGACGAATTTTTGTATATCATTTTAAATATTTCTATGAAATATTCCCTTCGGCTTCTAGCATCCTCTGAACACCGTCTAGAAGATTTTGCGTACTCTTAGAATTTAAAGCTAGAAAAAGTGCTTCCAACAACTTGTGGGTTGAAATGGAAATGGATGAAGGCCTGTTGGTGTCTTGATCCACCACCTTGTAGAAAATGTGCATGCTATACGAATATTTCTGCTGGAAAATTTGATTTATAACGACTCAAGTGGCTATTCTTTGTGGGCTCAAATGAACCTTATTTACTCACTAATATATTTTATGATCCTTAAAGCCAAAGAAGATCTTCTTTCTAAGACTCGAGTGACCCAACTCCTTCAAGGCCCTAGTGATCCTCATGCATTACTTAACATTTTTCTGGATATCGAAGACGAATTCATATTTTTTTTATTAAGCCCATGTGGTTCAACTCATTTAAGGTTCGGCGGGCTAGGTTATGTAAAGTCAAAGCGGACTTTGTTTTCCGGCCTATTGATAATTTGATGATTATCATTTATCAAAAATCTAGAAGGTAAAGTGGTGTGGTATATATGTAATTAAGGCTCAAATGGTCCTTATTTTTTTATTGATGCAAAAAATGGAATTGCTCAATCTTCTTTCTCCTTTTCCATAGTTTCTCCGTCTCATATGTTAAAGATTGAGTTGAATTCAGGAGAAACAGCTCTCTTCTTAAGATCTTTTGCATTATTCTTGATCCTTGCAATAGGGGCATTTACTTATCTACCATATAATTCTTATATATTTACATATCTAATGCCTATGCATAAGTGTTACTTGTGTTCGAACACAATAAGGATTGACCAAGCATTTTCTTATTTCAATTGGATTACATAAGGCATTGGCTTTAAGCTTATATCTTTTTTGCTTTAGTTATGGATGTTTTTAGTGGACATTTACATGAGAATGTATCTTAGTTTATAATATCCTTTTTGTGGATAAGAATAGAGAGATAGAGAGAGTTCGGGAGAAACTTGTGTTCAATTGTAAATCTACTCAAATTAAAGCCTTTAATTTGAGTAGATTTACAATTGAACACATGGAATATAAATTTAGTAGTATTAGATCTAGTGACGATGTTGTAATAATGAATGATCAGGTCATTAAAAAGAGTGATTGTTTTAGATATCTCCGGTCTATTGTTTAAAGTGATGGTGATATAGATGGGGTTGTTATTAGTAGAATTCAAGTTAATGTCGATATGTAAAAGAGAACCATAAAATTAAGTGTTGCTGAGGTGAGAGTGCTTTAAGTGGATGAGTGGCTTTACACTTGGGGAGAATCTGAAACAAATATATTCGTGAAAGGGTTGGAGTAGCTCTGACAGATAAGATTAGAGAGAGTCGCCTTAAATAGTTTTGTCACATTAAATGTTGACCAGCTGATGACACAGTTAAGGCAGTATATGTTTTCAATTTGATTTTTGTTAATAAAGGTAGAGGTAAACCTAAAAAGACTTGAGCATGTTGTATAAAAATGAACTTAATTTATCAGAATCAAATGAAAATGACACTCAATAGGACGCAATGGAGAAGAACATTGAATTATTTAATTAATGGCCAACTTATTCCTGCAGGTATGCGATGAGATGGAAGACATGATGGAAGATGGAGGGAACATTGTGGATTATCACGGCTGTGATTTCTTTCCCGAGCATTGGTTTGATCGTGTCGTCGTCCTGCAGACTGATAATTCTGTCCTACATGATAGGCTATCTAGCAGGTAAATTAAACTTCAATTTGCTGCAAATCTACCATTAATTCTAATCATTTTGGAGCTTTTTTGTATTCTCATACATGAACATAAAATCATCAGTTTCTAAAAAAATATTTATTTTTAAAAGCTTTACTCAATAACATACCTGCATCTTTTAGGGTGCATTTGCATCCACTCCTCACAATTTTTATCTATTACATAAACATTCATTGTTTACATGCATCACTCGAATATTTCATATTACTTCAAAAATGTCATCATCCGGGGGTTTATGATATCAAGCTCTTATAAGTGTAAATATCAAACTTTAGCTGTTTGATATGTAATTCATAAGAATTGTGTGGCATATATGTAAATTTCGCCTTTTTTTTGCTCGTGTAAAATTACGAGTGACGGTAAAATGACGCAGGGGATACATGGGAGTGAAGCTGACAAACAACATAGAATGTGAGATATTTCAGGTGCTATTGGAGGAGGCGAGATCAAGCTATGCTGAAGATATTGTCATCCCCTTACACAGCAACTGCGTTGAAGACATGAGCAGCAATGTGGCCATGCTAACAGACTGGATCAATAACTGGGGGCAATCATGAAACCAATTTTGGTTTGGAAAGTCTATAATTGCTAGGTTTTGTTTTTGATTCATCATATATTGTGTATTAATTAATGACTGTAACCCTAATTAACTGATTCTGTTATGTCACTTAGTGTGGATGAGAAAGATTGCATTTATCTCTCAAAATGTTATTCTGAGCTGACCTGTTTAAATAGTCGAGACAATCAAATCAAAGGTTTAGGTTTTGCTTAGTCGTATATGATTTGGCTTCACTATTACATGCTAAAAATTAATGCTATTATCACCTTAACATAACAATATATTTGATTATAAGTATAGCTCGTTTGAATGATAAATCCTACCAGATAAAAGTTTTATGAGTGTGATTAAAAAAATATAAATTTCTTCTTAAAAAGTTTTAAATTATTAAATATGCATAACTAAAAAGATAAATAAAACTAGTTCTCGAATAGATTCCATTCTAAATTATTTTATTATTTATTTTTTAAAAAAATGGGATCATTTATCCTTATTTAGAAGGAAAATTTATATACTTACCACAAATTTTATGTATTTACATAATTAATACCCAAATTTATATTTTTACATATTTAATACAAAATAAATTTTTTTTATATTTATAAGACTTGTTTGATAAACTTATGAATGAAGACGCATATCCCACTTTAGAAGGTATTGATATTGTGTTTTTTTTTTCCCTAATGTACAATGATTTAAGTGGTATGAATGTAAGGTAGATGTTTAGAAATATAATTGTTTGGTATGTACGTAAATGCCTCATTTTTAATGGGGGGCAAGGGCATAATTTTGTATTATAATTGTTTGGTATGTACGTAAATGCCTCATTTTTTTATGAGGGGCAAGGGCATAAATTTGTATTTTAAATACAAATCTAAAATAGTCTAAAAAATAAAAGAGTCGTCTTAGATGGCTTGGTCACATTAAACGTCGGTCATCTGATGATCCGATTAGGAGAGTGGATGTTTTAGATTCGACCTATGTTAAAAAGGGCAGAGGTAGACCTAGGAAGGCTTATTGTATAAAAAATGATCTTAGTTTATTAGAACTAGATGAAAATATGACAGTAAATAAGACACAATCGAGAAAAAGGATTCATGCAGCTGACCCCACGTATTGTGGGATTAAGGCTTTGTTGTTGTATTTCCGTCTCAAAATAAAGTAACATTCAGGTGAGTTGTGTTAAATACTTCTGAAATTTACAAAGAGAACTTAGACAAAAGGAAGCTGAAAGCAAACAAAAATAAATAAATAAATGAATTTAAATTACCCAAAAATATATATATATATAAAACAAATGAAACAGGCCAAAAAATAGAGGCCATGCTTCTTTTAAGAAGAGAAAACTATGTAAGAGGGGGGTGGTGGCTATAAGAAAAATATATACACTGTAATATACATGATTGTGAAGTGTGAGATTCAAGCGAGGATGAAAGCAGTCTGTTGCATGAATACTCACTCTCTCAATAGCCCACAGGCCTCTGGAGCTCACCGGTTCTACAAAGTGGCCCACAGGCCTCTGGAGCTCACCGGTTCTACAAAGAAGGGTTCTGCAATAAAAAGTAGGAGCCTTTTGGAAGAAATTGCAAATAAGTTTAATGTTTGTGTCCAAAATGCCACCAACTTTTCTTCCTCTTGGTTTCAGGAACAGGTAGCTCTGAGATGAAATAAATATATATAAACAATAGGAAATATTTAAGAGGCAATTCATTTCTCCAAATAAGATAATATGGAAGATAAAAGATAAATAATAGTGTTGAAAGTTACCTCCTTCAGGATAAATGGAGTTGTAGTGCACCTCAGCCCAAAAACTCAAGAAAATAACTGTTTGGAAGAGGAATTACTTTTAGCATTTTAAGGGAAAAATTCAAGCAGAACATGAAGGAGAATAAATGTGAGTAAGAAAATGAAGGTATTTACATATCTAACACATAAGCTTTGCTTTTTTACATTTGTACCACCCAAATCTTTCATATCATATAAAAATTATCACCATTATAACTTTTAAAAAGTGAAGCTGGTATATATATGTAAAAAATGAAATTAAGGTGTTGGATATGTCAATACATGGGAATTAAATAGGATTTAGGAGCATGGACAAAGATCAATCAATAACATGATGCTGGCATGGGCTAGAGACAAGTTCATGTTTTTTCGGAGGTATATAGGTTTCTGGTCTAGTTTTTGCATGCATGTAAGGCCAATTTAGTTAATTTTAGGATGTTAAAACATGTCTATTTCATCGTTTGATGTCAAATAGCTATTTATTACGGTGGTCCACTAAGACTGATTTGTAAATAAGCATTTTACTCCATCCCAAGTGTATATATGTCCATTTATTGTTTGTGCACTGATTAACCTTGTTTGGGTCATTGTATCAAATGACTCGTGTAAAACTACCAGTTAATGATTATTGAAGGAGGATGGAAGAACAGAACAAGAGAGCTCAACAAAGTTAAAGTCATCTGCGAAATGAATAATCGAAAAATAACTCTGCAAAAATAGATTATGTTGCAAGATGTAATCACATAGGGCAAGGTTAAAGCCATGCAACTGTTTGCATATTAACTTGAATATATGCCGCATAATCATACAGAAACCAAATGTTCAGCTGATTTTTCAGTCCTGATGCTACAGGCTAACATTGCTAATTAGTT